AAGTTTTTTTCATTATCAATTCAAGCCGTCTCCAACCATTATTAGTCTCAAAGTGGGTTCCTCATCATCGAATCTGATGAGATAAGGTGCCATGTGACAAAGGTCTTTAATTTGCATTTATGGGGGAGAATGTCTGCCACAAAAAAATTGCATTTATCCAGTGAACAAGCAATCCTGACAGTTTAACTTCAAACCATCAAGGGAATCAAGATTTCTGACTACTACAGACGTGATCAATATAGATTGCAAGGAAAATGAATCTGCAGAAACCTGGACAACACAAGAAAGTTAAAAATGAAATGATTCGGCTTGTACAGTTGTTGACTTTGTCAGGATTATGATAGCAATAAAATGTATTATGAACTATGCAGAAAGCTAGGATTTATGAACACAATATCAGTAGGTACAGAAACTCTCAGGTTCCAAGTAATAGTGCAGGGTAGAAAAATTCACATTTCAAATTTAATGATTGTACAGGTCAAAATTATAGAATGAAATTGAATTTTGTATTTTTTTGTTAAAATGATTCCTCATTTTAGAGATGCTTGCAATAACTCATCTTTTCCACTATCTGTATGATCACACCTTGGAATTTTATTGCTGTTGTCTTTGTCCATTTTGTAATTATAACAAATACTATATTATCAAGCAAAGAAATACACATCCATGTACAACAAGATGGAAAAATGTCAGAAACAGGAAAATCAAATGATTAATGAACAAAATTAATTAATCAAAACAACAACATGATGTAAATGAAAAAAATCTCAAGTATTATGACTGAAAACCATCTGATATAAAGAGAACAAAATATAAACATCCCGAACAGACATCTATGTATTTTAGATGTACAATGAAGTATACTGGATGGAGAGAGAAAAACAGACAGAGACAGAGGGAGGAGGGATCTTGCTAGTCATTGCAATGTGAGGAAACTTTGAGGAAAAGTTATTTGCTACCAAAATAATATGATATAATTTGGAGTAACCATTTACAACAATCAGATATAACTGATATTCATCATCAATAAAATGCAATTTTAAATCTTAACGTTCCATATTAATGCAAAAATGCTATAATAAAATTAATGTATTTGAAATGTTATTGGATTTCACAAAAAAGAGGGCTCAGCTCACTGGAGACACAAGGAATTCAACACAAAATTTAAAGTACTAACCACTATGCAGAGTGACAAACTCTACAGAGGCAAACAAAATCTGCAGCATAGAAAAAAGTAAAACAACGCCTATGATGTTACTTATAACTGCTGCATGAAACAAATTAAATTAATTTGTTCATTAATACCTGTTTAAGTGATCTGAGTTTTAAGACACATGTGCGCACTACCTATAGAAAAGGTGAACTTAAGAACCAAATATTTCTAGTGGCAAATAACATGATTGTTCAGACTGAATTTATAAAGAATTTTTCTTGATCCACTTGATACAACACTTGGATCAAAGATTTTCTCAATGTCTTCTAGATAGATGTTGAAGACATTTTCAAAGGATTTGTAGAGTCCTTTTTGCCCTGGTAGTGACTCAAGATACCTGACATACAAAGGATTGACTATGTTATTGCATGCTGGAAGAAAATGGTCTCCTGTCTTTAAAACGACAAAGGATCCTGTGGTGAAGCTATAGCTGTTTGCAATGTTTCCTTCACAAACAGCCTTCCTCCTCTTCTAGTACTGCTGTCTTCTGTTTATTGGTTTATAGAAGAGGGATCTGCTGCTAGGAGTTTGCAAATGTTAGCGACAGAAAAAATTTTCTTTATACTTCTTTTGGCTTTGGAGTGAGTGTACCAGAATTGATACTTGAAGAGAATGAAGTATTGAGGTGGTGTGATTTTTAAGCAACTCTCCCAGCTCATTTAAGAAAGATATATCTGCATTTATGGATGCATCATTAGTGTTGTCAGGTAGTGCAAGGCCCAGTTGTTTGCTTTTCATGGACAAACTGAGATCATTACTGGTGAAAGGAGCAGACTCCTCTATGCCATCATCTTCTTTGTCCAACAATTCTTCATCTATAACACTTGGTTCAATTTCATCATCTTTGCAGTCCATCAGCTCTTGCCCTTCATTTTCAAGAATTTTTTCACTCTGTCTTTTAGTTACAAAACCTTTTGGCAGAGTTATAGTCTTCACTAATTCTTCACACTCATGGGTGGTTTAGATTTCAAAAGTTTGTTACAAAAGGCTGTGATCTGGTCCCCCACCAAAGAGTACAACTTACCAGAGACAAGAAAATCTCTTGGTGGTTGTATCAAGAGTCAGGCTTTCCCAACTTATCACCAGCATTTTGATCATGTCATCTCAGGTTGGTGATGAGATTCTATTTGGTTGTTCTCTCAGTTGCTCCAACAGCACATTTTCAAGCTCTCTGTACTTTGTGTTCAGATGCTGGTGAATATGAGTGTCATTCACTTTAACATCCCCAGTGATGTCTCTGCCTATGACAACAAGGATGTATTCTCTTTCGAGGAGTTTTTTCCTGACTTCTGTGCAGTGGATGGAGTAGTTTTCCAAGATGTTGATGGCAAAGTCTTTTTGTGAGAACATGTTGAACTTATTCTTCAGGTGGCTGATGGGTTCAAGCATTGTTTCAAGCTTGTATGAACCATTTGGGGCCCACTGTATACGAGTACCTGCTGGGGGTTTCAACTTCCATTTCCTTTGAAGACATGGTGTTTAATAGTTCAGTAGTAACCTATGTAAAGACAGTAACTTGTTCATGAGAGAACATGTAGTTCTCTTTGATATATTTTGGCTAACCACCAAGTGTTAGCTTTTTTCTGATTTGAAAACTCATTCCTATGCTGGGGCATTTGATCTCCATTTATGATTGTGGTCTCCTTCTTGAAGTTAGTCAGAAAGCAATGTTCTTCAATAAGTCCACAGTTCTCTCAACCCTGTCATTGTGTGAGAGAGCAAATCGTTTGTTGGGTTTTTCAACCTCACATGATATTCCCTCATCCACCCTTGGATCCATCTTTGGGAAAACTGCAATTTGTCCTTTTCATCAATTGGTTCTTTTTGTGTGTCTAGCCATTGTTGATATAGTTCTGTACTGTACAGTTCACCACGAACACCTTTACAGGCAGACGACCTTTGAGAACTCCTCTCACATCTATGAGCCAATCAAATTCTGCTTGTCTTACTTCTTCAGCTTTACACTTCCTGCCAATACC